TGCTTCACAAAAGAAGTATCCAAATGGATACTTACCATGCAAAAAAGGATAACTTCTTAGTCATCACAAAAAGGCAGATGAAACCACAGTGCTCACTGAAAAGAACAGTTAAAATAGAAGAGACTGGTAATTCCAAATTTTAGCAAAGTTGTGGGACTCTCACATTCTGTTGCTACCAGTGTGGATATAAATTGTAATGATGACTTGGGGAAACTGGCAGTGTATACGAACACTAAGCATACAAATAGCTGATGACCTAGCAGAAGTGCATGTGCATATGTGTTTACTAAAAGCCATTCACTGGAGTGTTCGTGATAGCATTATTTGAAATACCTTAAAAAATCAAAATAACTCAAACATACATCGACAGTGGGAAGGATAGATAAACCAAAGTAAATTTCTACACTGGAATAGTTGATAATGCCCAAAATGAAACAGCTACTGCTATATACAACAACATAGATGAATTTTACAAATAGAATATTGACTAAAAGGAGCCAGACACAAAATGGCACTTACTTTATGGTTCCATTTATGTAAAATTTCAAAAACAGATAAAACTAATCAATAGTGTTAGAAGTTAGGACAGTAATAATATTTGGAGAGTTGCATTTGGGAAGCCACACAAGATTCATAGGTGCTATATACTACCTGGCAGGATAAATACCAGGATCACAGAGTGGTTTCCCAGGGTGAGGCTCACCCATTGCACTCCAAGTGTGCTGACTCCTGGGATTTCCTCAAATGTGGGAAACTCTACTACATAATTTGTGGGATTGGGGGACTGGGTTCTTGCTCTCCCCTGGGGAAAGAAAAAAAATTCATAGGTGCCGATAATACTTGGTTTCACTATCTAGGCGGTAGTTACATAGGTGTTCACTTTTTGATAATACATAAAGCTGTGCTTATATAATTTGCATACTCAAATCATTACTTTATAGTTTGCCCACTAACAAATGATATATTTATATTAAGCAATGAATGTGAATAACTGGCATTAATTGAAAAAGTAATTATGTTAATGGGCAAGCTTACAATTACATCTAGAATTATAAGTATTATGAATTATAAATATTACTATAAGATGCCTTTTAAGAATGTGCTATGTATGTTTCTGTTTTTAAAACGTTTTGACAGTTAATCATTTATGGACTGGGAAATTTGAAGACTACTCTATTTTAGCCAATATTTTTTGTCATTTGTTTTGAGAGAGAGAGGGAGGGAGAGAGAGAGGAAGAGAGTGAGCTTTAGCCAAATCTTTTAAATGAAATATGACTTTAAATGTTTTTCAGTTAAGGTATATATATACTTACAGTGTACATTCAACTGATAAAACTGAAACCTTACCATAATGTTGAGAAGTTGTGCTTTTCAAATCCTTTGAAGATAGTTAAAGCAATAAGTATAATTTTACAGTATATATCAGTATTCTAGTTTTATGATGTTGAAAGTATTCTCTGAAGTTGCTTGTGTAATGCTTTCTAGGATTATATAGACACTTACATAATGATAAGGAAAAATTTCTTTACAGCTGCCTAATTCTTGAAATCTACTAAAAATTTAAAACATATCATCACTGGATGAAACTAACAACAATCTAGGCAAAGCACTATACCTCATTTTCAGTTAATTATTTTTATATAAAATACTTAATTTTCCTTTATTTCATTTATTAGTACTGAGAGAGAATTGATAGTATATACTACAGTTAAATTCTATTATAACCATATTAAGTTTTAAAAATTAAAACATTTTATTTTTTCTTTGTTTTTTAATATATTTTATTCATTATGCTATTACAGTTGTCCCATTTTCCCTTCCACCCTGCACATCCTCTCCCACTCACATTCCCCCGCTTCAGTTCATGTCCATGTGTCATACTTATAAGTTCTTGGCTTCTACATTTCACATACTGTTCTTACCCTCCCTCTGTCTATTTTCTACCTACCATCTATGCTACTTATTCTTTGTACCTTTTCCCCCTCTCTCCTCCTCCCACTCCTCTGTTGCTAACCCTCCACGTGATCTCCATTTCTGTGGTTCTGTTCCTGTTCTAGTTGTTTGCTTAGTTTGCTTTTGTTTTTGTTTTAGGTGTGGTTGTTAATAATTGTGAGTTTGCTGTCATTTTACTATACATGTTTCTTATCTTCTTTTTCCTAGATAAGTCCCTTAAACATTTCATATAATAAGGGCTTGGTGATGATGAACTCCTTTAACTTGACCTTATCTGAGAAGCACTTTATCTGCCCTTCCATTCTAAATGAAAGCTTTGCTGGATAGAGCAATCATGGATGTAGGCCCTTGCCTTTCATGACTTGAAATACTTCTTTCCAGCTCCTTCTTGCCTGTAAGATCTCTTTTGAGAAATCGGCTGACAATCTTATGGGCACTCCTTTGTAGGTAACTCTCTCATTTTGTCTTGCTGCTTTTAAGCTTCTCTCCTTTTCTTTAATCTTGGGTAATGTAATTTTGATTTGCCTTGGGTCCAACTTCTTTGGGGCTTTCTGGGCTTCCTGGGATTCCTGGGAGTCTATTTCCTTTGCCAGATTGGGGAAGTTCTCCTTTATTATTTGTTCAAATAACTTTTCCACTTGTTTCCCTTCCTCTTCTCCTTCTGGTATCCTTATAATTCGGACGCTGGAACATTTAAAGATGTCCTGGAGGTTCCTAAGACCCTCCTCATTTTTTTAAATTTCTGTTTTTTCATTCTTTTCTGTTTGGTTTTTTCTTTCTTCCTTCTGATCTACTCTATTGATCTGAGTCCCAGTTTTCTTCCCCTCACTATTGGTTCCCTGTGTATTCTCCTTCATTTCACTTAGCATAACCTTCATTTTTTCATCTAATTTGAGACCAAATTCAACCAATTCTGTGAGCAGCCTGATTACCAGTGTTTTGAACTGTACATCTGATAGGTTGGCTATCTCTTCATCACTTAATTGTATTTTTTCTGGAGCTTTGATCTGTTCTTTTGTTTGGGCCATTTTTTTTTTTATCTCGATGTGCCTGTTACATAGTGAGAGGCAGAGCCCTAGGTGTTCAGCAGGGTGGGACAACCCAGTCACTTTGTTGTGACACTGTATGTGGGGCAAGGGTCCGAGAGGGAACAATGATGCTTGCTCCGCTCTTTGCCGGATTTCAGTCACTTCCTCCACTTCCCACAAGCAAATTGGGCCCTTCTGGTGCTGATTTCCATGTGGGTGGGTTTGTATACATTCTAGGACCATGTGGGTCTCTCCAATGAGCTGTCCTGTGAGGCTGGGAGTGTCTCCCTGAGCCTCAACCCCCAACATGTGACCCCATCAGTGCCTTGAGGCTTTATTTCCTGGCTCTAGGACCTTGGGTTGCATGGTCTGTCTCACTCCCCAGTTTTGCCTGGTTTATCTGCCCGCGAATGTGGGTCTGGACACACCTCACCCCTCCACATTACACCATCTTGCTGAGTCCACCAGGTGCCACCTTGCGCGCCCAGGTGGGCCAGCCGCCCTGCCTTAAGCCCTCTCTGTTCTGGCTCCCTGATTCCACCCCTCCTACCGGTCTGAAGGAATGTGTCTTCTTTAACTCCTTGATTGTCATACTTCCATATAGTTCAATTTTCTGTCAGTACTGGTTGTTTTTTTGTTTTTTAATTGTTGTTGTCCTTATTTTGGTTGTGTGAGGAGGCACAGTGTGTCTATCTACACTTCCATCTGGGCTGGAAGTCTAAATTAAAACATTTTAATTTAAAAGTGTCCATTTGTTTCTTTTTCTTGTTTAAAAAACAAAGTGGACATTGTTATTCATCAACCATGTTTTATGATATTTTCTACCTTGCTTCTGTGTGTATTTGTATGTATCTACAGTATGTACATTTACTAACACCAGTAGATTATAAAAACAACCTTTTGTCTCATTTATAAGCTTAAAGGGGAGGAATATAAGTTAACGAAATAATTTAACTTTTTAGCAACGTTCTTCTAATAATAGACACTGGACCATAAATGAAAGAGGAATTTCAGCTATTTGGGCCTGGAAGTATATGTTGGCGTTCTAGATTCTGGCTTGATAATTCAGTGATTTACTTGATGACAAATCCAGCAATCTATTTATATTATCAGTACTATAGACTTAATCTTCTCTTAGTGTTTCTACTACCTAGTTTGTTACCTACCTCCCTCTGCTTTAGTCACTTTGCACCAGTAACCATTAAGGCCTTTTTGCTGTTTTGCTGGCTACTAAGCACATTCCTGCCTCTTCACTTTTGCTGATACCTCTGCTCAGATCTGTAGTTCCCAGATTCTCCCTACACTCCCTCCATTATATGCAGGTCTCTCTTTTTGTCACCTCAGAGATAGATCCTCTGACCCTTCTCTGTAACAATTCCCATCATTCTCTTTTCTTATTCCCAAGCTTCATTTTTTACATTATCAGCATCTGATATTCTGTTGTATTTATCTTTATACATTTCTCAGTAATTATAAGCTCCATGAAGGCAGGGACTTAATTGGTTTTGTTTACTACTATATTTCCAGCACCTAGAATCAAGACAGACACATAGTAAGCACTGCATAAGTATTTGCAGTTAGAGTGAATGAGTAAAATGTAATGAAAAGCAAGTATCAGTCTGCAAGGCATAGCCCTCAGGTAACTATGCAGAATTCATTGATTTATTTCCCAAACAAATGTAGGATTGCTATTAGTTCCAGCATGACTCTCTCTGTAAGTATTGGTAGTAAATTTAAAAAGCACTGTAATAATATAGCAAACTTCTGATCTTATCCTTCAAAGGAGGAGGAAAAGCACATGAGTGAAATTATATATAGAATATTTAGCTTTGTCTTTTATGAAATAAATAATGACTAAAAATAATATTTGTTCCAAATGCATTGTCTTAGTTCTTGTTTTTGATAATTTAAAAATATTGTAGTACCTGCTCAAGTTCCAATAAAAGTTATATATTCATGTATTTTTTGTTTGTTTTTCTCTTTATATCTATTTCCATTCTACCCACCCCCTTTTAAAAGAATCCAACCCAAGTTGGAACAGCTCTTCAGGTTTTCCATAATCTTGGAACTTTGAAGAATACTATCACCAGTGTTGTGGAAGGATATTGTGCTACTTTAGAAGAAAGTATCAGCGGTGCATTAGATGTCAAAGTTTTGACTCAGCCTTCTCAGTCAGCTGCAAGAGGTAAGGATATGGTTTATATTTAGTTTCTTTATTTATTTATAACCAAGAAGCTCTTTGAGTAGTATATAAAACACTTGAGTTTCAAAGCAACTTAATGACTCATTTTTAATAGACAGAAAATGAGAGAAGAAATTATGTTTCATATTTTATTTAGAACATTTTTGTCTAATCAGTGAGTTGAACTGGCCAATTGGTATATTCAGAAGTTGTGGATAAAAATCTATAAACTGTGACTTCATTTAGTTCAGAGGAAACAGATGCAGGGGAAAAAAAGGAACATATTTTTTTTCTCTGAAATCCATATCCTCACATGTAGTTCTTATTGAGATAGAAAATATATTTTAAGGAAATGCCATCTCTATCTTAGCTTTTTGGGCTTTTCCTTATAATTTTAGTATTCAGGAACAACAATGGCAAACTATAAAGATAGAAAATGACAAAACCTTTGGAAACATTACAACTATGGCAACATCTAAAAAAAAAAACTACTAAAGATAGGTAGAGCCAAGTTGAAGAAGAGTGTCCCCACATTGCACCTGATAGAGACATTCACATATGTAACATACTTCACAGATAGGAAAGACTAAGTTGTGTGTACCTCTCACTTACCTAGGCAACCCCAGCTCTCCATTTTTCACCTTATATTCTTTCTTCTCTCCTATTACTGTGGATGAGCTGTACTTGTTCTACTTGTGCATTAGATCCCATTATTCAAAGACATTGTTTTAATAGATTCCCCTCTCTGCCAGCTCATCAGGTTTCATTTTTCACTTGTCTTTTTCATCACATATAATCATGCTAGTGTATGTTCTGCTTAAAGACAATCAAACAAATCTATGTTGACTGTTACTTTCTTCAGCTTTACTACCCCATTTTATTTCAGAATATAGAAAAATGCCCCAAAGTATTGTGTGCACACACTGCCTCCAATTTTTCTTTCTGTTTTTTGTATTGAAGAAGGTACTCTAATTACCATAGAGTTGTCCTAAAAAATAAACAGAATAATACATGTAAAATTAAGAACAGAATTCTTGATACATGGCTAATACTAAAACATTATTATTGGCAGCCATTATTATTTTTACATTTGCTGTATAAACATAACCTTATAGCATAGAATATATGTCACTCATAAATAAGTTATACTAGATACAAAGAGATAAAAGAGTCTTAGATCTTGAACAAAATTTTAAAGGTTAGCACAAGCCTCTGAATAGGTCTGTATTAAGATTATTTTAGGAGAGCTTTGAACATAAATTATGAGAGGAGGTTTCACTCTGAGTTGTCCCTAGTAATTATTCTCAGAAAAGTTGATCTACTGTTTAAATTTTCACAAGCAGTTTAATTTTGTCCCTCTTGTGTTGTTAAAAATAGGAAAAAAATGAAAGCAATTATTCACATGTTGTTGATCCTAATGTACAGCCTTTTGCTGTAAAGAAAAGAGTTTAAACCCTTATCATCATCTGTTAAGGAGTGAATACTGTGATTTAATGTAGAAACCTTAAGCATCAATTCTTTTTTAAAAGAACAATCACTGTTACTTTTATTTTTAAATTATTTTATTGTTGTTCAATTATAGTTGTGGGCGTTTACTCCCCACTGCTCCCCCTGCAACCCCATCCAAATCCTCCTCCCTCCCTTGCTTCCACTCCCCCTTGGTTTTGACCATGTGTCCTTTATAGTTGTTCCCGAAAAGCCTTTCCCCCTTCCCCCACTGACAATATTAATGTTAATTTTCTTATTTGTTCCTGGTATTGATACTATGTAGTAAATGTTATTGTGTTTTAGAAATACATGTTAAAGCATTACATTCAAGGTTGGGCATCATGTAAATAAACTATTCACAAAAGATTCAGGGAAAACAATTTTTTTACTATGCTTTTCAAATTTCTGTGAGATTTAAAAAAATAGCATTAATGCAATTTTAAGAGGAAAATGTTACCTGTGACATATTTAAAAGTTTATAATTTGATAAGAAAAAATTAACAACTCAATTATGATTTCACTCATATGTGGAATCTAATGAGCAAACTGAATTAACAAGGAAAATAGAGACAGACTCATAGAGAGCTGATAACAGCTCTTGGTGGGGGTTGGGGGTAGAGGGATTAAGCAGAATAGGAAAAAGGACTCATGGACAACAGTGTAGTGATTGTGGGGTGGGGTGCAATGTAAGGGGGACAAATGGAAATGGAAAAAAATACAATAAAATATATTAAAACATAAAAATATTAGAATCCCCTCAAAAATAAAGACTATCAATAGGCAATTTAAAGAAGACATCCAGTAAATGTGAAAAGATGATCATTCTCTTTTTGGAGGGTGAACTAATTATTAGGGAATTACACATTAAACAAGATACTATTTCTCAGTCATAAGATTGGGTAAGATCACAAACTCTTATACTCTAATTGTAAGAGAATAACATGGTCCAGCCATTGTAGTTAAGTTTATCAAATTGTTCTGTAAATTTTAAAATGTGTATACTTCATGATTTTATTATTTCTCTTATAAGATTATATGCTAACGCTGGGGTTCCCAACCCGATACTGTCCTCAGCCTGTTAGGAATGGACCACAAGCAAAGCTCACCTGAGCTCCACCTCCTGTCATGTCTCCCCCAGCCCTGTCTTCCGTGAAGCCAGTCCATGGTGCCAAAAAAGTTGTCACCGTTGTGCCCTAGAGAAATTCTGCTACCTATGTATTAGAATTTTTATTGCACTATTTTTTACAATAGTGAAACAGTGAACACCTTTTCTTCAATGGAAAAATGAATAAAAACTGGCTTATTTATTAAGTAGATTACTATAGGATATTTAAATTAATAAATTTCCAGAATAGATAATTATCAAAAACATTACATGAAAAAGCAAGTTGCAGAAAGAGACATACAGTATGATGCTATATCTAAAGCTTAAGAACATAATAGACTATGCCATATATTGTTTTGCATATATAAATATGTAATAAAAGTATAAATATATACATTGTAATAATAGTCATTGAATTCAAACTAGCATTAGCTCTGGGGAGAGATCAAAGAAAATGGGACCCCTCAAGAAGGGAGGGGTGTAAAGGGAACTTAATTTTTTTAATTTATTTTTAAAAACTTTTTATTTATATATTTGAGAGAGAGAGACAGAGAAAGGGGGAAAGACAGACAGAGACAGCAATATGTTATTCTGCCCATTTATTCATTCATTGGCTGCTTCTTGTATGTGCCCTGACCTGGGATGGTACCTGCAATTTGGCATGTTGGGATGATGCTGTAACCAACTGAACTCCCCTGCTAGGGCAAGGGAACTTTATTTATTCATTCACTTTTAATCCTTTTTTAACATTTTGGTTTTAAGGAATTAAATATTTTTTTATTTTTTGCTTTTCTTCTTTTTAAAAAATTTTAAATTACATTTTATTGATTATCCTATTACAGTTGTCCTGAGTTTCCCCCCTTTCTCCCCCTCTACCCAGCACTCCCTACTCCGTCAAACATTCCCTTCACCATTGTTCATGCCCCTGGGTCATACTTGTAAGTTTGGCTATTCTATTTCCTGTACTGTACTTTACATCCTCATGGCTATTCTATAACTACCCATATGTGCTTCTTAATCCCCTTACCTCTTCACCCATTCTCCCCCTCCAACCTCCCATTTTGGCTACTTTCTGGTAACTAACTTCTTTTCTCTTGCTTTTAAGAGTCCCTCTTTATCTTTAACCTTTGGCCTTTTAATAATGATGTGTCTTGAAGTGGGCCTCTTTGCATCTGTCATAATTGGGTTTCTCTGAGCTTTCTGGACTTGCATGTCTGTTTCCTTCACCAAATTAAGGAAGTTTTCTTTCACTATTTTTTTGAGACAGATTTCCAATTTCTTGCTTTCTTTTCTCCTTTTGGCACTCCTGTGAGGCAAATGTTGGACCTCTTAAAGTTGTCTCAGAGGTTTTTTATATATCCTTGTTTTTTTGGATTCTTTTTTCTTCTTGTTCTGATTGATTGTTTTTTGTTTCCTTATGTTCCAAATCATTGACTTGGTTCTTGGCTTCGTCCATTCTGTTGTTGTTTCCCTGTAAATTTTTCTTTATTTCAATTAAGGTATCCTTTGTTTTTGACTGGGTCTTTTTTATGCCGCTGAGGTCCTATGTTCCTTAAGCATCCTTATAACCAGTGTTTTGAACTGTGCTTCTGATAGATTGCTTATCTCCATTTTGTTTAGCTCTTTCTGGAGTTTTGATCTGTTCTTTCATTTGGGCCATGTTTCTTTGTCTCATCAGTTTGGCAGCCTCCCTGTATTTGTTTCTATGCATTAGGTAGAGCAGCTTTTTCCCTGTCTCTTGGTAGTGTGGTCTAATGTAGCAGGTGTCCTGTAGGGTCCAGTGCCACCGCCTCCTCTGTCACCCAAGCTGGGTACTCCAGGTATGCCCTTTGTGTTTGCTTAGTACACCCTCCTCTTGTAGCTGAGCCTTAGTAGCTATTGGTAGATCAATGGGAGGGGTTTTCCCAGGCTGCTTAGCTTCAAGAATGACTATAACCACTGACCACCAACCTCCACCCTCTGTGGAGGATCAGGTGTATGGGGACAGGTTGTTGGTGCTTTGATGAGTACTGTGGCTGCCACTGTGTGTTTTGGCCCTGGCGTTTCCTGCATAGTGCAGGCCAAGGTCAGCCCCCACCTGTGTTTTGCCCAGGGCACCCTGCTTTAAGGCGTTTTTTAAAATGAGGAGTTTTAGGTCCATAGCAAAATTAAGAGGAAGGTAACAGATTTTTCATATACCCCTGTCTCTATACATGCATAACCTTACCTATTATCCCCTACCAATGGTACATTTGTTATGAAGGATGAAATAACAATGACACATCCTAATCACCTAAACTTCATAGTTTATATTAGGGTACACTCTTGGTAGTGTACATTCTATGAGTTTGGACAAATGTATAATGACACAGCTTCATCATTATAATATCATACAGAATATTTTCACTGTCCTAAAAATCTCCTATGCTCT